TTCCTTCGGGATCCGGGCCCGTACCAGTGAGTCTCTCAGATTTTTGTTGCGGCGGTAGGCGATGAGTGGTGGGTCTTTGAAGATATCTCGTGTTCGGGGTGATAACTGCAGGATGTTCCAATATTTTCTGAGGATGTTGTTGATGGGTGGTAGGTGTGGATTGTAGGTGGTGACTAGTACTGGTCGGTCTTGTTGAGTTGGCTGTGTCTTCTTGGGTCCTAGGAGTTCTTTCCTTGGGCGTCTCAGTGCGCGTTGTGCAGCTTCGTCCAGGAGTGTGTCTTCATAACCTCTTTTCTGGAAGTGTTCTTTTAGCTGCTGTGCTCGTTCCCTGTATTTGGGTTCGTCAGAGCAGATTCTTCGTACGCGTAGGAATTGCCCGAAGGGGATACCCCGTTTGCAGTGGGTGGGGTGGGAGGAACTCCTTAGGAGGTACTGGTGCTTGTCTGTGGGTTTTGTGTAGAGGTCAGTCGCGAAGGCTCCCTCTGAGATGCTGATGGTGACGTCCAGGAAGTGGATAGAGGTAGTGGATGTTTCTACTGTGAATTTGATGGTGGGGTGTGCTGTGTTAAGGTCCTGTATGAAGGACTGGAAGTCTTCTTCTGAATGTGTCCAGATGGCAAAGATATCATCTATGTACCTCCACCAGACAAGTGGTTTGAGGTTCCTCTTATAGACGTGTTGTTCCTCGAATTTTCCCATGAAGATGTTGGCGTATGAGGGTGCCACTCTCGTTCCCATAGCTGTGCCTTGGCCTGGATGTAATGCCCTCCATTGAATTCAAAGTTGTTGAGGTTCAGTATCCTGTCCAATATATCGCAGATGGCTTCTGTAGGGACGTGGAGTTGACGTAGCGCTTCTTGGATGTAGTCTTCTCTTTTCAGGATCACTACCGCGGAGCCCTTGTCTGCGGGTTTGATGATGATGTCAGTTCTTTGACTCAGCTCCGCTAGGGCTCTGCGTTCCGTGTTGGAGATGTTGCTCTTGTGTGGCTGTGGTGGAGGTTCCTTGTGTTCGAGGATTCCTTCTCAACTGCCATGATGAAAGTATCTAGCACCGGATCTCTATGGGTGGGTGGGGTCCATTTGCTTTTGACCTTGAATTTAGGGGTTTCCATTTTATCGTGGTCAGCAAATAGTTCCCACAAACGGAGTCTTCTGAAGAAGGCGTGGAGGTCTTCGATGAGTTGTTGTCGGTTGAAGTCGGTTGGTGATGGAGAAAAGTTGAGTCCTTTGGAGAGTGCTAGTA